CTGCCTCAGTAGGAACACAGAGTACACCCGCTAGCTCCTTTTTTCCCATAATGACCTCTTAGAGGCTGGCTCAGCGCTTTTATCTGTATTTAAAAACACTGCACACTTTCTTTTGAACAAGAAGGAGATGAGGAAAAATGAAATACAGAGAAAAATAAATCTCAAAGGTGGCTATTAATTTTAGGGACTGGTTTTGTAAAGCTGTTTACCATCTGCCCCATATCCCCTGTACTCAGGTCTCTCGCACTGACCTTTCCCTTAGAAACTTACAAGTTTAAATCCTTCCCCAGCCCTTTCCTTCCATTTAAATCATGATTTGGCCTTGTACATTTGCAGCCCTTAAAAAGTTTTCTTGGAGTATTTCTATTTTGGGTGATTCATTAGATCACATCTGCATGTGTCTTTCTTAGTTACCTACCTGAGGGCTTTTATAGCTGAAAAAAGCAGACTTAGCTGAAGACACGAGCATGCCTAGCTCCAATAAATAAAGCACATGGAGTCAATTAAAACAATGTTTAAATAATTTTCAGAAAGGAGGATGCTTGATGTTACGACATCGGAGGACCACAGTGACTTTTCAGTCAAAAAACTGTGCAGGTTTACTTTCTCATTTAATCTCCAGGTCTATAAAAAAATGCATGCTTCCACAGCAGTCATCTACCCACTCCAACAGTTAACATGATTTTGGAATTATTTTAAGTCCAAACCATGTGAAAATAAATCCTAACTCAATTTTGTGGGATTACTTTGTTTCCATTAAATTCCTCTTTAAAGCATTTCATATGCTCAGTTTTATTATTGTTGCTTCCAGGAACTTCTAAATACTTCAAAATTTGGATTGATTAAAGTTTTTTAAGTTTTCCTGGAAAAAAAAAAAATAAATGAATGCAATTCCCTGCCTACTTTCACAGGTTTTTACAAACCAAGATGTTTATATATACATCTTAATGGGTGCATACACAACACACAGAGGTTTTGTGTGGTTATTTATAGTAATAACATACTAGAAGGTAGATAGATTTCACAAGTTAAACAAAATAGAGTTTAACAAGTACTTAAAGATGAGGTACCGCCAAAAGAAATCAGGGCATAGCAAAGAATGGTGAAGTCATGTGGATGATGAAACAAATGACATCCTTTCTTCTGATTCTCCAGAGTAATGCGCACGTGCTTAAGGAACAGAGTGGGAGAGAGTTAAGCACAGGGCCGCATCTCTGCAGGATGTGGGGCTGAGGCTTTGACCCTTTGCTGGAACCAGTGCAGTGCCATTTGTGCATGTCATTCTGTAGCTCGGGAGTGCTCTATGTGAGTATAATGCCCAGCTCCGTGGTGGCTGGTGCATTGCTGCCCCTGCATTTTGAAGTGACATTGCTCAGATGAGTAACCTCAAAACTTTCACTATAGTCACTCATGTTCTTTGGTCAGCAGTGCTGTGGCATCTATCTGTAGGTAGATATGTTTCTTTAAGTAACTATGTACTTCCTCAACACTTCACACACAGTGCTTGTTTACATGCTGAGCTTTAAATGCTTGAGTTGTTTTGCGTGTGTGATCATGTTTGGAGTTTTCTATGCAATAATTCTTATTACAGTGATAACCTCAGTGAAATGATTCCATGTAGGTAGCTTGTATGTTTGTAATAGACTTTGGTGCTCATAAGGGCGCTCTGTAAATGCATGGATCGGATAGTCCTGACCTCACTGAAGTTCACTTTTGCCTCTGACCTCAGTGGAGTCAGGATTTCTTACTTTATAATTGCATTTCCTCAGGTAACAGCAGACTTATTTTTCCTTTTCCCGCTGTTTTGTGTTCAGGTGTCTGTGAACAGGGAGGTGACTAGATTTGCTTACACTTCAGCACACCAAGTTGGTACACAGTGGACTTCAGATACATTTTGACAGTGAATATTCTGAGTTATTTGCTGGCATCACCTTCCCATGAATCCTAGGCTCTCTGAATCCAGGCTTTTATGCATGGTCAGGAAGAGACTGAGGTCAAACCTATAATTGCAGTTCTAGAATAGGCTTCATTTCTGCCTTCAATCAGGCTGCCTGTCCCTCTTTTAATTGTGTGATATGGTCTCTGTTTCATTGTTCTGTGATGACGAGATTTGCCACAAAGCAACCTCTATGGCATAGGATTTGGCAGAGGCGTGTAGGATTTGGATTATATTATCTCACAGAAAAGTTAACTGGATGCTTAAATCTTTCTCTGCCTTCCTCTGTGCAGAGCTCAATCAATCAATGCAATATAACACGGGACTTCTCATCATTGCACTGAGCTGCTGCAGCCTCACCCACCAGGAGCAAAGAGCTCTTCATGAGCTGCCTCTCCCTCCTCTTTGTGCAGTGGAAACAAGCCCTGAGCTCCACAGGCAGAAACCCAAAGGCTTTTTCAGGAGTGCAGAGACATCTGCACCCTCCCCTGTCCCTGGGTCATCTACGCAAGGAAGTGGCAAAACTTGGCCCCAGGCTACGTTGTCGTAGCTGTGCAGCCTTTTGGGTCAGGACAGTCCCAAACACAAACACAGGCTGAGTGAAGAAAGGATAGCAGCCCTGAGGAGAAAGGGTGTTGGTCAAGTGCACATTGGGCTTTCCAAAAGCAAATCCTGGGTTGCATCAAAAGGAGCGTGACCAGCAGGTTGAGGAAGGGGATTCTTCCCATCTGTGCCGCTCTCATGAGACCCCCCCTGCAGTCCTGCATCCAGTTCTGGGACCCCCAACACAAGAAGGACATGGACCTGTGGGAGCGAGTCCAGAGGAGGCCACAAAGATACTTCAAGGGCTGGAGCAGCTCTGCTCTGGAGGCAAGCTCAGAGAGCTGGGCTTGTTCAGCCTGGAGAAGACGGAACAGCTTCCAGTCCCTAAAGGGGATGACAAGAAGTCTGGAGAGGGGCTGTACTGACGGGATAGGGGGAATGGTTTTAAACTGACAGAAGGGACGTTTAGATTAGATACTAGGAAGAAGCTTGTCCCTGTGAGGGTGCTGAGGCGCTGGCATAGGTTGCCCAGAGAAGCTGTGGCTGCCCCATCCCTGGCAGTGTTCAAGGCCAGGTTGGACACAGGGGCTTGGAGCAACCTGCTCTAGTGGAAGGTGTCCCTGCCCGTGGCAGGGGTTGGAACTGGATGAGCTTGAAGGACCATTCCAACACAAAACATTCTATGATTCACTGCAACCGTGTCCATGGTGCGCTGTGCTGGTGGAAGCAGCGCAGCAGAGCCCAGCGGAGCTGAGCTGCTGGACCAGCCTCTACCAGGACAAGGTGAGGACTCCTCTCCATAGCGGTCATTCCTGAACTCTGTCCCTTGAGGGGCTCACAAGACCTTGCGGCAGTAGCAGCATTGCTAAGGGTGGAAATTTGATGGGCTTCAGTAAAATACCAGTGCCTAAGAGGAGCCTGGGGGAAGTTTACATGTCCATCTGTCCCACTAACTGAGAACCGTGGTGCATGGTTTTCCTTTCTCTCTCTCCTAACCTCATGTATGACACATAATTTGTGAGGGACAACTGGAGACCTGAAATTTGCCAGCTCTGTCTTCTGTGAATTATACATTAGTACCCAGCTGTAGCCACCCAGGAGATTCTTTAGTCCATATGCACCCACCACACTGCCCTTTTGACAACAGTTACATTATCTTTCATTTATTGTATTATGTTATATTTTTATTTGTGGAGCATTCGCAGTGATTGTCATGTTACTTACAGAAATTTGTGTGCTTGTAAGCTTTGTTATAGCTGGCCCTGGGCTTGACCAGTGAGAAAATGCAGCTGGGAAGCTTAGATTACTGCAGTCAGGATTATGGCCATTGCACACAAAATATCCTAGGTCAGACCCTCTTTTGCTCTTTGTCTCCCTTGTCTCAAGAAAGAATCTGTTCTGAGCTTTGTAGGCAAAGGAAAACAACCAAGGAAAAGATAAAACAGATTGCCAGAGACAAGTATTACTGCCTCTCTGACTATTTATTAAATTAAAAACAAAGATAAGAGAGAATGGAGCAGCATCTACCATAAAACACACTCATTAGAAGGGCATTTACAAGCTCTGCCTAAAACAACACTTGCCGTTTCTCTATTTTACTGACTATCCCCCTGGTCTGAACTTAAGCCCCGATCTGCTCCCACCACGCTCAGTGTGGCGGTGGTTCTAGGACTCAGCATGAAAAAGCAGGGGGTGCACTGTCTCTTCTGCTTGTTCCCATAGCCATGGGCACCCAGGGGGGTTCTTTGAAGATCTTTGGAACCTGAGTGTGCAAATGAAGAACTAACACACTGTACAGAAAAGAGGTGTGTTGCTTAAGTGGTCCGGTAGGCAGGTCTTCACCAGAGACCTGGATTTCCTAGTTAAGTATGGGCTTTCTGTGGAACTCGCTTGCAAATCACCTTACCTCTCAGTCCCTCATTTTAAAATGGAATCAATAGTGCTTTGATGCTGTGACATTGCAAACCACAGTGCCTGCGGCCAGTGCTGTGAGAAGATGCTTTGGAGCATAGGACACTTACACTCTCTTCTACAGCATGCATTATTCATGCTGCAAGCACTCCAGCTTTTTCTTGACTTGCCTCTGATTCGTTTTGCCACTGTGCACTATCGAATAAGGTTGCATTTTGCCACCATGCAATCCTATATAGAGTTGCATCCAGTGCGATGCAGGAGGAGGAGCCCCTTCCTGCTTAGCCTTTGCAGGTACAACCCTATTCTGTACCTGTTGGCTCCTTTCGTGCAGCTTGACAGGCTGACCACAGAGGTGGAGCCGGCTGCCACCTGGTGAAGACACAGATGGCCGTAATTTTCAAGAGTAATTCCTGTCCTCACCCTATTCCCAGGAAATGCTGCCTGTTGGGTAGTCACGGTGGTCATCTGCCAGATAAGGATGGGTGGTGATGCTTCCTTAAGCAATAGCATCTTCACGCCCAGTGGAGAATACATGATAATTTTTTTCCTCTTTTTCTTCTTTATGTATTTGAACTGTTTTCAAAAACATGGTTTGTTTCTTCCCTAGGAGATGACCCATTCCTGGCCTCCTCCTCTTACTGCTATTCACACTCCTGGCAAGGCTGAGCAGACCAAGTTTTCTATCCCAAGCAAGGTACAAGTAGGTTAACCAGTGACCCAATTAACATTCTGTGCTGTGGAGTGTTCTTCACTGGCAAGTTTATTTTTGTAATTGGTTCCATTTTCAAAAATTTCTTAAGACTATTTTTAGTTGGAAATTCCCAATCAGATTGTTGTTACTGGTAGGACAGCTTATTTTAAAGCTGGTGAGTTGCAGTGGAGGCAAAGTGAACTTTATCCCTGTTGTTACAAGAGTCTTTCTACATCAAGTACAATATATTTTATTTGCTTGGTTTTTTCCATTATTGTTTGTGCAACGCAGTGGCTGAAAGGTCATTTTTCCTACTTAGTCATTGATTGCATGATGAGGTTTAGGCTGTACGGTCAAATTACAGTGACTTAAAATGTTCCTGCATGTGAACAGTGCTGTGGCATCTGTGCGCACACTCCAAAGGTACAGCAAGTTGTGCAATGCGCTCCTGAGTGTTGGCCTTGTTAAAAGCACGCGCTCGGCACTTCCCACATCAAAAACACATGCCTGGAGAGTACCTGCAGTTCACCTAACACACAGTGAATCATTTAGTTGTATGATTTGAACATGCCTTTAGCCTAAATTCCGTTGTTGCCTTCTAGCTATGATTCTGGTAGCACTGTTAGAGTTCGAGCCCATACCCAGGGCAGTTACTGCCAGAGGTGTCTTTTGCTGGGAACAGAACAACTGCAAGCTGCTGATGTTCGGGAAAGGCGAGAACTTCCCTAGGGTGAGAAATCTACCCCAGTTTGACATGGAGCTACATCAAGTTTCTTTCTAAAGGCAGGACCTTGGAAAATAGCTTATAAAACTGGTACTACTTGACATTATGGTTCAAGCAATCATACTGTGTTTTAGAAGCTGGAATGTGATTTTCCTCTTACTGATTTTATCTGTTTGGCAGATATTCCCCTGTCTGAAATGCAGCCGCCATACTTAATTGAAAATCTCATGAAATTACTAGTATCTGTGGCTCCTTAAAAAAAACAAAGCCAGTGCCCTGAATGCCTTGTTTTAGTGGAAAATGATTGTCACTGCTCCAGCACTGCCATTGTCACTGCAGTTAACTGCTGCAGCATTAAGCATCAGAAGTCATAATCATGCAGGAGTATAATCCTCATTGCAAACTGGGTTAAAGTCAGTCGAACCTATTTAGAGGAAAGTGGAATCTGAGCTGTGTGCATACAGTGAGCGGGGAGGGGTTTGCCCACTGGAAGTTGTATAAATTTTTTAATTTATACCATTTATTAATTTAGCATTCTGGCTTTGATGGGCCCTACAGAAGCTGGTCAAAGTCCTGCAGACTGTCACTATCCTCACTGGCAGCAGAATAAGCATAGGTTCAGAGAAGCTAAAATTTTGGTTTGCTTTTCTCTTTCTATGAAGTTTGCTTTGAACTTCTAAGATCCACATCAAAGTTAATTTCTGGGCATGTTAAATGTTGATCCTAGAGTTCTTGACCATATCACTTCAATGCAAAATATAAATTAGATTTCTTTTTTTGAGCTCACATTTCAGGAAACAGGCAAGCATATAAATGTTTCCAAGTTTGCTAGTTTTACTTCAAAAAATACAACAGAAATGTCTGTTCAGAACATCACATTAAATCAATTATACCTAGCCAAATTGTAGATCTTAGACATAATGTAGCTAGACTGTGCAGAGATGGGCAGTATTAGAAGTTCTCAATTATTATCTCAACTATTAACAAAAATAGAAACATATATAAAAAAGTGTGATAAAAAGGTGGAACTTACCAGAACAATTTATCCCTTTGACATTCAAATTGAAAGTGCCATGTTTACTCTTAGGACGTGTTTTACTTCACAAGGGACTGACTGACAGCACAGTATAATATTAGGAACTAATAATGCCCTAAGAGGAAGTGCAGTGAGGGCTTTAATGACTTCAGCATTCTACAGAACTAACACTTCCAGCAAAGTAGTGCCTGGCCGTAAGATGAGGTTGTAAATAACACTTTAATTTCAGATGATCAAACTCTGCTTGGAAGGAAAGCTGATTACAATCACTGTGGACTATAAAGCATAGAGAAAAAATAAGCCAGAAAACACCGTGACATTAAGGAAGCAGCTTAGTTGCTGTGAGCCAACAAGAATCTGGGAATTAGCATGCTCAGTGTTGCAAGTCAGATTCTTTGCCGGTTTAAAGTTGTTGTGCTTCCATTGACTTCATTGGATTTGGACCAATTTCCATCAAGTGAAGATCTGTTTCCTGCGTCTTTATCAAATCCTGTGTCACAGTCCAAATAAAAGTAGTGACTATCAATCAAAGGTTACTGTATTTCCAAGTAGTGAGATCAGAAAAAGAAAGGTAGTGGTGCTGAATTAAATGCATAGATGCATTCATGCTGCAGTCTGAATTGTACAGCATGGATGGCTCATACCCACATCCATGACCAAACCCGGAAAAAGCCTGGGACCACTGCAGGTATAAGTCTGTGCAGTGTCTCCATGAAGGGAGTATGCAGATTTACAGCTGCTGCGGACAAGCCCTTGTGTGAACTGTGAAAGGATCCGTCAGTGCTGCTCCGTCTCCACAGTTAATGTTGTCACTGGTGCTGCCTTAACAATCACATGATCCCTTCCCTGTCCCATCTCCTTCCCTGTTTGTGTAATGCCATGCCCTTAATCTAGCAAGCCAAGATATGTCTTACCTTCTTCATCTTACTTAATTAATGCTGACATTTTGTGTGTTCTTCTTTGTAGGACTCCCAACATCTGACCTCAGGATACAATGTACAAAGTAGGTCCTTATCATCTTAGTCCTAACAGTCAGGGTTGGGTATTTTTTTTGCTTTTTCCCTACTTAACATCATTAAAACAAAGGCGAAAAAATTAATTTCTATGGTGCTAAAGCAGATCAGTTCCATTTTTTATTACATGTTATGCATTGTGGCATGTTGTGAAACCAAGTATAATTAGATGGGCTGACAGCTTTGGGTGCATTTTAATTCTACAGTAATCTTTTGACATTTGAAAATGTGTTTCCTTTGTTTGCAGAGTGGAGTGATCCAGCAGGGAAAGTTGCAGCTAAGTCAGTGCCACAAAAGTCGTAAGTATTATTATTTCCAGCTTTAAATCTCATTTTAAATTTATCATAAAGAATGAGCTTATTTCTCCAAAGGTACCTAAAATCTAGCTCTGCTCATAATCTTGTCCTGGTGTTCAGGTGTTCTCAGTAGTCCTTAAAAATTAGCCATAAACCAGTTTTATGTTTTCAGTGCTTATTACTGTTTCTTCTTTTTAAGCATTTGCTAACAGAGGTATGTGTGAAAGATGAGTTTATTAAGCAGAAATAATGCTGATTTTAGTTGTAGAGCTTGCCAAAATTAAATCACTTTTATGCTTCTCTCATCAGATACTAAGCCTCTTACAATAGAAAATGCAACCCAATGAGCAGATGATGCAGGAATTTTAACATTCATACAGTGAGAGTGAAACACATCATACAGAATGATTCTACTAGCTGGTGTTGAAAAGCTGGTCTTCAGTTTCATACTCTTTGAAACAGCTGAAAATCACAGATGATCTATAAATATGACAGTTGAAAATTGTGAGAGCTAATTCTCCATTGTGTTAAACCATTTTTCTTTGGTGCTAAGGCTGCAATAATGTAGCAGTGAGTTGAGACTGAACTAGTTTTTTCCTTTTACCCCAGGACCTCAAAGTAATTTACAAACAAGAATTAAATAATAACTTTGAAAAGTAGGTTGTTGGTTATGAAAATGTGTGGGTCTGATTTTAGTTCAAATCTGCTTTTTTTTTTAACGTTCAAGCACTTTCAACCACTGAATGCAGAACTGCACCAGCTTAACTGACATTTGTATAAATACAATATGTTCATTTAAAATTACTGCAAAATTATTCTAGTGGTTCCCCTCAATTTACCAAAGATGCAATTTTAAGTAAATCCCTGTAGGGGAAGTAAAATCAGTGCAGAGATACCTACATACATTTTTAAAGTGAATGTAAATGTATTGATTCTTTGTGCAAGCTTATGTATAGGAAAGGACTTGTTGGAGTTCAGTGATTTGTCTGTGACCATATAAGAAATGCAGGACTAGACTAGATCTAGATGCCAAATCCATTAATGTACTTACCAGGTTCTGAAGATCCAGTTCTTTACTCACATACTGAAGTCATGCAAGTGCTCATTCAAATAAAGTTTGTTGAGTGAAGCTTTAAAAATTACGGTTAAACAAACAATTAGATTTTAAAGTGGAATGTTTTTTTCTTCAGATTGAGAATTGGCTGGGAATGCTAATGATAAGTAGATTAATTTGCATGAATAGCATTTGTTTGTGAAACTTAGGAACAAATTAGATTTTGCCCTTTGCTATTCGATTTTTTCCAGTAGTGGCTTTCTTTTCTTTTTTTTTTTTTTTAAAGACTCTAGCCAACTATACCCACTGTTCCTGGTAACAGAATGGGTGCATTCATGTGTTGGAACATCTAAGCAATCCAAACCTAACATCAAGCATGTTCCGTAGTATAAAAAAAGTAAAAAAAAATATTATTATACCTTAAAATTATTTTTCTCCTAAAGCAAGTGAATTTGGATTCCACTGTGAAAAATATTTTAGTGTGTATACCATAAAATACAATATTTCAATAGTTTGTAACCAACAGTAATAGACTTGTCAATCATGGTTTATAGTTATAAGCTGAATTTCAAAAGAACAGTGCTTCAGAGCTCAGTGGTATATAGTGCATTTAATGGGACCAAAGCTCTCTATAGGAAGCCTGATATAAAACCCGAAGACACTGAGTACATTTTATGAACCAGTTGCTCTCTGTTCTGCTGCTTGATCTAAAGTTCCAGTACTATCAATCAGATTTCTGCTGCAATGAACTGCCTTCTTATGGTAGGTGATAGATTTTACACATGAGAGATCAGAGCTGCAATAAAGCTACTTTTATTTTTAGCTTCCAAATGAAGATCAGCTCACCCATTACTATCACTTTTTCTCTTTTACTGCAGAAAAATTGTTAAGGCAGCTTCTAAGAATTTCCATAGGGCTTTGGGAGGTTAGAAGGCAGTCCACTGTGAGACTTGGGATTACGAGGCCAATTTGTTTCTTTAGATCTGCGTGTGCAGTCACCGCCACTTTCACTGGGAATTACAGTACTTGAGGACATAATGAAATTAAAGCAAAGAGTGGGGCAGAAAGATGTAATGGTATCAAGTAGAGCCGGATAGTGCGATCCAAATAAACCCTAGTAGATTGACAGCCCCTGCAGTCATTGTGTATTTTAATAATATAGTATTTATCAGATTGCAGTTGCATTAAGAAGGATTTAATCTTTCTAACATTGGTTGGTTTCAGGAATATTGGAGTATATGAGTGAAATTGCAGTCCATCTTATCCCCAGTAACATTTGTTGCTGCACTGTCAACCCCACAGCATGGTCTTACTAACTTCAAAACTGTATTGCCTACCAATTCCTTATGTGTTTTGTCAATGGGATCTGTTATCTCTATTTCAGTTTGATCAAATCTGACTGAATTTGGGTTTGTTCATCTGTATGCTTTGTTGAAGACCTTTTAACTTGGACATACTTCTATATATTCCCCAACTTTTATAGGTTTACGTGCAATTAAAGTGAAACTTAAGTTATATTTTCCATTTACATTGGTCCTAGTGACAGTCTTATGGATGCCATTGGCTTTGTTAGAAATCCATAGAAATTGGCTGTAATGTGCTTGCATTTACCATGGTCACTGAGTTATACCATGACCAGCTGAGCAATGCATGGAGAAGAAAGATACTTTACTAGGATATATTCTGCTCCAGAATAAGAATATAGGCAGCTAAGCTGCCTGTATGTCATTACAGAGTTCAGGTGTAGAAATATTGGCATCATGGAAGATCATGCCAAAGAGATGTATGGTCTTTGCAAGATAAGCTTTCAGGTCCGTGCTTTTAGGGGGCAGAATGGAGGCAACATACTGCAAGGTAGATTAATTGACCAGCATCTTGATGTTGTAGAGGAATGCAAGATGCATGACTTCTTTCTTGTCTAAGCAAAGCTTTCTAAAACACAAATTTCATGCTTTTTATACTATTTCAGTGTCTTCTATTACATCCACATGCTGGAGAATCCAAATCCCCAGTGCTTTGCAGCAGGTAAAATAGAGGGTAGCATGATTGGCATTGTGTTAAATTCTGCACCTATGTTGCACATGTAACTAACCTCAGATCCTAATTTCTACTCAAAAATCTTGAAAATAAGATTTTGAACGTTGATGTGCACACACTTGTGTATACAGTGGTGAATTTTTATAGCTGAAATCAGGTTATGTAAAACTACAGCACTTGCCTTCCCTTTTTTTAAATTTCAAGTTCACTGTATATCTCCACTGGGTATTACGTGGTCAGCTTTCAGCCAGTCTACTCTGACTAGTTTATTATGAAGCATAGCAAGCAGGAACAGATAAGGTGCAACTAATTGCACTGAGAAGGATTTTCTGTCAACTTCCATGAATTTGAGGGTACGAACTGAGCTTGTGACTTGGGTTTCTGTTATATAATTACCATTGCAAGTATGTCATCCGCAAACACGCAGCCCTTTTGTTCTGTTTTGGTTGTTAGCATTTGGCCTCTGTCCAGTTGGAAACTACCCAGAACCTTTTTAATCAAGCACATCCTGTGTTTTGAAATCATACTGCAGTGTAGTCTTGAGTAGTTTCCATAAAAGCCTAGCTAAAAAGAAGAATGTAATCATAATGGTATTCTTCCCCTGTCATAAAATTACTTCCTATACTTACTGTATTAATACAGTATTAAAAGGCCCTTCTCATGGGCTCAGTGAACTACCGGAAACCATTAAAAACTTAGAGCAGCAAATTTTTGAGGATCAGACAAAACCAAGTTACTTTATAGAGTTTTTGTTAACCATCATACTTACTGATGCACAACTTGTGTGGGGGCTAGAGAACAGCTAAATACAGTGGGCTTGAGAACGAAACAAGCAGCTAAAACTCTTTATGTGATATTTCAGCAAGGGTTTTTCAAAGGGGGCTCGCCACTGGTTTCAGTTGAGTCAGGATTTCACTTCATGGTTCTAAAAAATTTTCGGTAAATGCCAGTACTTTTCTAATTCCAAAGATTATCATAATACCTGATGGAAGCCTGTTTGAAAATGGAAATGTGCTTCTTGACATCTAGCTGCTTTTCAGAAGTATCTAATGGCTTTTTGGAAGTTCTCCACTGTGTCAGGGACAGCCACCTGGGAGCATGGAAAACAAAATTTGGCAGCATGTTCAAGCAATGAATTAAAGGTAATTCACGGTTTGAAATGAATCAGCATGAGGTCCTTATGAAGAGTAATCAGACATCAAGAGGATTTTACACCAAGGATCATATACTGGATAATGCGACAACAAGTAACATTGTTGTTCAGAACATTCAAATCAAGAAGCACTGATGAATTCTTAACCTTGAAAGGAATCAGTTTCAAAAAACTGGGATTCATTCAATGTTGATGCATCATTTCCAGTTCAATCCCATGAACCAAAAGTGTAAAATTCATCCCCAACTGGAATAGGAAGAATGTTTCCATGTATGTAGCAAACTCTGTGTCTGAGTTCCAGTCACAACCCAGCCCAAGTGTAAGACACTGCAGAAGATGAAATTTTAGTATTCCTAATTACAGCTTTTAACTGATCATATGAAAGCACAAGAGTGTCAATTGATCCCCAGTGCTGATAGCCTGCTTGCTTTCATTGCGTATGTTCATTTTCACTTAGTGAGTGTGGCAAGCTTTGATCGCTAGACTTAAGTACTGCCTGTTTGTTAAAAGTAGGAAGTTCCAAAGATATTCCCTCTGGGTAAGCTGGGAAAGTCATGAATACAAGGGACTTTCACTGCCATGTACAAATTACGATAAGTGAAACAACAGTGGCATGTAATTGGAACTCCATTAATCTTAAGAGAGCTCCAGTGCACCATATTAAAGGGACAAATAGCAAATGAAAATAGAAGGGTCTGTTTTGATAAGATGTCATTCATCTTTCATATTTACTGTTTTGTTACTCAGAAGTTTGCTTTT